GTGTTATGCAAACTTGTTCTTTGCAAAGTTAAAAAACTTTAGAAACTGCCTCCATAGGATTTCAGCCTGAAGGCAAATCTTTGTGAGAGTTATGAGAAATGAGTTTTCTACAAAAGAATTGGTTTGGGTTATTATTTTCTAATCCTGTTAGTTCAGTGTAGTTGGGAAGAGAAATGTTTTTAGAAAACAATTAGTGCTGTCAGTCAGTTTTAATTAATTGCTAATTAAAACAGTGGAAGTTTGTAAAGCAGCGGAGATTTTGTTGTGATAAGTCACAATTAGCAATCACTTGCAGTATGAAAATACAGAAGGGCAAGGATATAGGATTGAAAGATGGAGAACTGGGTTCAGGGCCAGGCAAACGCAGTCGCTAATTTTTCACCCTGGTATCACTCCTCTTTGTTGTCCTCCAGCCCTTTTATCTTATCTCCACGTGTTTGTTATCGTAGGTGCTTCTGGGAAGTTCTCATCTCTTACGGAGCTCGTACAAAGCATAACATTGAAATTGCAAATGTTAAGTTTCATTTAAGGTTTGAGAAAAATATATTTTTATATTCAGAATGCTTGTTGTTTGCTTGTCAGTTATCTTTCTTATTAAGCTTTGCTTTTTTTTTGTTTGCAGCCAGCTGAATCATTCTTACTGAGTACAGACGAGGAATTCAGGTTTAACTATCCTACATACCTTTGGAATCTGCTAGGAGTTTTTGTTAGAAGCAGAAAGTGTTTTAGCTTCAGCTGAAAGGAGTAAAGCTTCACTATTGGCAGCACAACTTTTGCAGACATCACAGTTCTGCTGAGTGGCTTGCAGTCACAATTCCTTGGCATTAACCTTTCTGTGGTATCACTGATCATGAAATAAGCCTGTAAACAGTAAGTACAGACTTGAAGGGTAACTTAAGAATACTTCAAAAATAAAATGAATACACTCTCTCCCCTCCCAGAAAAACCCAAACAAACAAACAAAAGGACCTCACCAACCCACAGCAGTCTCTCCATCCTCTCTGTGCTGCTTGTGTATACCTATATCTTCCAAATATGACCCTACATACTGCACTTTGACATACTCAAGTGGGCGCAGTAAAAAGCCATGAAATTGTTTGTGTGCTTCCTGATTGTTGTAGGTTCTGTCACACATTAAAACCAAGACGTTTTTAGGAGTGGTAACAATTCAATCGCCTACGTATTCCTGCATCTCTGTATGAACTTGGTCAAGTGGCATTTTTGCTTCCTGATTAATGATACCCGAAACCCAAAGTGGTTTTTATCCGTATAAGTACTTTAGAATTGCTGGAATATATAAAATGTAGGCCTGTCTAAAAGACAAATGCACGCTTGTTTTGGTATTTTGGGTTTTAGGTTTCCGGTGGTATTCATTTCATCATGAACTTTTGTTTCCTTTGGTACTGAGAATGAGATCATTATTGCAGTGGTTCATTGTGCACTCACATTATCCACAGATTACCAGATTATAAAGGCAGAAGGGGAGCGCTCTGACCGCTCAGCCTGACCTCTTGCATCACGTTGGTCAAAGGATTCCCTTGAATTAAATCTTTTGAAGTTAAGCCTTTAGACTCATCTCATTTGGTTTGAAAGTTGCCAGAGGTGGCCGATCAGCTCGCATACCTTGGTGAAGTCAGCTAAAAAATAAGCACAAAAAAAAAAAGCAGCTGAAAGTGGTTGAAGTTTTCTCCTTTCTTTCTTTTTAAGTTGGGCACGTTTATAACCCAAGAGTCCTTGTGTTTATATTCTGTTATTTTGCATGTATCTATCTACAATATCAGTAGCTTTCTGTCTCTTGGAGAACTTTTCCATGTGCTAGCAGTCTCTGTATGTAAAACTATCGTTGTTTTCTTTCTGCTTCAAAGAAAACATTTATCTTAGGATTGTCTAAATTTTGAGCACATATTAAGTATTATCTGCAGTTTTCAGCTGTTGTTGTATGTTCTCCTGAACTGTTCCAGCTCTGAAAAGGAGTTTCAAAACAACTGCCTGTTTTTACAACTACTTCCTGCTGATAATTGTGCTCACAATATTCACAGTAAAGGCCAACCCATTGCTACTGCGTGACTCAGATTTCCTCTTTGCTTTTGCTTTGCTGTAGCAGCTACACATCTAATCATTGAGAGAGATTGCTGGAGGCTACGTTAAATGAAATCCAGAAATGCCACATTTTTACTGTGACCTTTGCTTACCATTTTAGTGGACACTTGAAGTAACTTCTCTATGAAGCAAAGCAACTGTATGCAAAAGCGTCTATAGTGTGGCTCTAAATTGTTGCTTGAACTCTGCAAGTGAATTTCCCAACTTCTCAGCTTTCATCTCGTGTCCTTACAATTGTGTTCACCTTCTCTGTTTCTCCTTACTTAGATTAGAGGGTAGGTTTATTTTTCTTACAGTCATAAAAACTGAGCATTTGCAGTATCAAGTTTGGCTCTTCCAACAGTTGCAGTTTGATGAGGATGAAGAATAATTTATTGTACAGATTTCACAACCTTTAACTGAAATACCTTGGCTAGAAAAGTAGCTTTCTGGCTCCCCTACGGTGTGCATTACCCTTTGGCAGTGATTCAGTCTCAAGTAGCAGTGGGCAGCTTCTGCGACCACTGCTTTGGTGTTGCAAGAACCCATCAGCTGCTTTTTCTTTTCCTTATATTTATTTTTTTTATATCCCTAAATTGTGACCAAATCTGTCAAGTACAAGTGATAATTTTAGTTCTCCCAGTGGTGGAAGTATCTCAGTGTCTTTTGGTATCTCAATGATGGTCAAATGGTAACTGGACACTTCAAGTCAGTAATGCAGTAAGAACACTTTTAGATCTAGAATATTTCTCAAGGATAAAATTGCTGTTGTGATTTCTTTTTAGATGTTTGAGGAGCTGTCAAGAGCTGTGGTTTCTTGGCAGTTTCATTACTAAACTCCTTCCATTTTCCACTTTCTCACTATTTTGGCCAGAAAGTCACATTTAATTCAGTGTTACTTTGTGTAAATTTCAAAGCTATATTTTTTCTTTACAGACTGTTTGTGTTAGCAATTTTCTTACTGTGTTAAAGATTACTTTAATGCCTTACATATTTTTTTTCTATAATAGGGCTGGGATTTTTTCAGAGACTGAGATTTCACCTAATTAAATATCCAACTATTCTGTGATTTTTCTTTTAATGCTAAAGTTCACTTTCACCAAATAATATTAACATAATGTATTTTGTAGTAAATTTGGAGTACTAAATTCATGTAATTTAAAATGCAAACTAAGGATAGAAATGCTAAAGGATAAAACTCCTTAGTGAACAAATGTTTATGTATAGAGTGATTACATTGTCCGAATTATTTTTCTTCCACTGCTGATGATATTTAGGAGAAACTTTTACAATGGCATACCCTAAAAACATCACATACTTGCATTACTCATAATTGCATTAATGTGGTGTACCAAACTATACTGATGTCCCAGTGTTTCTTAATACTGGATTTCTTAATGCGTTGCTCCATAGAAAATTTCTGCCTACGTGTTTTCTTTGCCTGCCTCCCTCCTTAGGCTTCTTTGACGCCACTTTTAATGGTAAATCCGGAACTCTTTTATGACAGGTGAGGCAGCCCTGGCTGGCTGATAGCTGGAGCACGTGAGCAGTACTTTAGTCTCAGTGAGAGGGCCACCTTTGCACTTTAAGCTTCATGTTTGTTTGGCCTTCTTTTTAGGATTGAAGACAATGTGTTTAAAAACATGCTTACTTTCAGTAAAATCTGATGGAAACTTAAGATAGTTTTGGCTCCTTTGAACTATTGTGAGTCCCAGGTGTGCCCTTAAGGAGCAGTGGTTGGTGACTTGTTCCCATAGTTGACTACTGGGTAATGATGAATTTGAAAGTCGAATCATAGAATCATTTGAGTTGGAAAGGTCCTTTAAAAGTCATGTGATCCAGCCCCCCTGCAATAAACAGGGACACCCACAGCTCCATCAGGTGCTCAGAGCCCCATCTGGCCTGACCTTGAATGGCTTCGAGGACAGGGCACCCACCACTTCTGGGTAACCTGTGCCAATGCCTCAACAACCTCATTGTAAAAAACCAATAACCAAAAAAAAAAAACCCCAAAACTTCTTCCTTATATCCAGTCTAAATCTCCTTTTAGTTTGAAATGATTTCCTCTTGTTCTATTACAACAGACTCTGCTAAGGAGTCTGTCCCCTCCTTTCCTACAGCCCTCTTTCAGATACTGAAAGGCCGCTCTCAGGTCACCTCAGAGCCTTCTCTTCTCCGAGCTGAACAGCCCCAGCTCTCTCAGCCTGTCCTGGTGAGGAGCTGTTCCATCCCTTGGAGCATTTTTGTGGCCCTCCTCTGGATGCGCTCCAACACGTCCATATCTCTCCTGTACTGAGGACTCCACATTTGGATGTAGTTCTCCAGATGAGGTCTCACCAGCTCAGAGCAGAGGTGCAGGATCACCTCTCTCCCTGACCTGCTGACCGCGCTTCTTTTGATGCAGCCCAGGATACATTTGGCTTTCTGGGCTGTGAGGAAACATTACTGGCTCCTGTCCATCTTGCCATCCCCCATCTTGTATCCCTAGTAGGGGTTGCTGTGACCCAACATAACACTGGGCTATGTTGAACCTCACAAGAAAGTCCTGAACTTGTAAGCTAGCATAGGAAACGAGTTGATGTTTTACATTCTTAAAATACTTTCACACTTCACTTATCTCTTTACAATGTTGTTATTTGTTGTTACTGTTCTCTCCCTAGGCTGCAAGATACGGTGAGTAGCTGTACATTGCAAGGTGTTGTCTTTTTCTTTCAGACCGCCACTTTACATCAGCAGCAGCAGTGACTGCAGCAGCAAGTGCTGGCTGCAGTGTCTGGGGTGCAGAAGTGTTGCATCCTGGTATCTCACCTGTATTTGCGTTCGGTTTAACTTGGGCTTGTTACTTCATTTTTTGGTCTTGCTAATGAAATTTAGAAACAGTCGCATTCAGCAAGTGTTTATATTCCTTGACTTCTTCACAGACATGTTACTGGACCTCAGTGATCTTCTTCAGGTATTGTATCTATTTTCTGTGGGAAAATTCTCCTGATAAGGGTTACATTCAAGCGAGGTGCTGTCAGCTTGGGCTGTTTGTGATGCTTTAATTTCTCCGTAAGATTTCTGAATTGGAAAATCACTGTGTTTGTAACTCAGTAACTGCTCGGTGAAATTAAGTATCAAATATCTTTTGCTTTTAACATTGCAAGAAACGTATCAAGAGTTAATATGATGCTTTCTTCAGGATTCAATCATTGCAGTGGCACAAGGTCAGTTGTTACACATTTTTAACATAATAGTAGAAGACAAAACTCTTTGTAGGTAATATGGTGTAAATGGATTAGTGTATGCCAGGGCCGTGTTTTATGAACTGTATTTTGAACAAAATATGTATTTGCTCTTTGTGTGGAAATAGAAAGCTCTGCTGACATACGCTGCCTTACTCGCATTCTCCACGTTCGAACTGTTTTACATACAATGTGAGTAGGTTAGTTACATCTATTTTTGTCCTCCCAGCTGTCTTGGTAAATGGCATCCCTCTGAAGACTATTTATTGCTTAAAGCAATCTACTGGAATTACAATAATCAAATGAATCTTTAATTCTTAAAATTACTAATGTTGGTGGATTTTTTTGGTTCTTTTTTTTTTTTTTTTTTTGCAAGCTCTTACTGAATTATTTTGATTGCTTATAAGTAAATACTGCATATGTAGATTGGGGGGGGTTTATTTCCTATTAAACACAAGTGATTTTACATAGTGGTTGCTATAAAATAGGATGATTGCAGTAATATGGAGAATATCTATCAACTATCAAATGTGAAGAAGAGGCATTGAGTCTGGAAAAAGAAAAAGATGTCCTGTTGGTAGGGACAAAGATTGAATGGTTTGGTTTTGTCCCTTCTGTACATTCCAGCCTGAAAAGGTGTCAAGATGGGGCACATACGATCCAAAAGGTTAAAAGGGGGTAGCTGAAGAGATGGGAGAGCCAGAAATAGATCAGTGGTATGGAAATAGCCCTGGAAAGAAGAAGAAGATGCAGTGTTCCACTGTCATGAACTTTATTTACATATTTTAACTGTGTGAGGATTTCTGATAGCCTTCAATTTCTCGTTTCTTAAAGATGAATCTGAGCTAACAGAAATCTTAAATGTCCCTGTTGACTGTAGTTAGCCAGAAAGCTGTGCTGAAGAAACCTGAAATGAGCTTCTCAGACTTCCTCCAGATTTCTCCTATCAATCCCAGTTTGTTTTATTAAACAACACCAAAAAAGTAAAAAAGAAAACAACCACCTCCCATTTTCTATTTTAAGTCAACAGTATATACACGCTTAAAATAAAATTACCTACAATAAAAGCTCCGTAGGTGATTCTTAGTTTTTGATGCTTTGTTTTCCTCTAAAATTAGTGACAAAATATTTACTGCCCAAACAAAAAAACTTCCCTGCATTGTGCTTTAGATCAGTCTTTGCTTGCAGGGGGTATGAAAAGTAAAAGCAATTGGTTTATTGGATGGTACTATTACCTTGAATTGAATTTTTCATTCAAGGACAGCTCTGCTATTGTGAAGTTGGGATGTGAACATCGTTAGAGAAAAAGGAAGGCTGTTTGCAGAAGTGATATTGCTGTCTTTCCAAAATATTTAACGTGTTTGGAGTTACCTGCACAACATTTGTATTGCTAGTCCATGTAACCATTTTTTTTTCTGGTGAAATAAGAAAGGTAGCGAATTTATGTCAGAAAAAATAAGTCTGAAAAATGAGCATCAGACCTTCATGAACTTTTGTGCAGATGCTAACAGCCAAGTTTGACTTTTTTCTGTTGAGTGTTCTACTCAATACAGCTCTTTTGCTGCAGGAGGTGAACTGATCTATGAGGTTGTTAATTGTGTGACCCTAGGAATTTTTTAGAATAGAATTGTTTGGTTGGAAGGCACCTTCAGAAATAATCTAGTCCTACTGCCAACGTTTCTTTTGAAGAAAATTAACAAAGCATCTTTCTGGAGGCCACCGAGTAAGTACAGGACACCTTGAGATAGATTTTGATGTGTTTGAGTGGTGATGGGAGGAAGCACAACTACATTTTGTGCACTGCTTCATCTAATAGCGAAACAAAGTAAATCCATCAGCAAAAAGCTTAAATGAAAACCTGTGAAAAAAAAAATCTGCTGCTTTCTCTTACCACCTTGCAGCTGGGCACAATATTTGCTGTGCTGTTCTGCATCTGTGACCTTCAGTATCTGCTGGGAGAGCTGAGACCTCACAACTGGTAGCCGGTAGCTCCCAACATAAGCAAGTTGGGTAGCTGAAAGTGAGAGTCTGTTTAAAAAGCCCTTTCAGTTTTTCTCCTGTACTGATGACTGAGATGGGGGAGTTTGGCTTATTCCACTGGAGAACTATTCCGTTTCATAACAACTTCAGGAACTTCAAAATTGCTGTCAGAATGAAATAAAATGCCCCCTTTTTTTTTTTTTTCATTGGAAAGGCCAGCTTTTTGTATTTTGCTTTTCATTTTATCTCTAGATGAAATACGTCCTATGTGTTGGAAACCTCCCATTGAAAGTGTCAGATTCAGCGTGCCTCTGGTTCACTTAGACTTAAAAGCACTAGCTAAAACGAACTGAAAATGTGCAGAGAAGCTCTACATGCTCCCTGTGCAGAGCAGAAAGGCATGCTGCATGTTGATTGCGTTGGATGGATGATCAGTCACCAGTCTCTGACAGGAAAGTACTTGTTTATATTTTCAGATATTGCATTTTACTTGCAAATACAGTCTTCAGAGCGGTCTATAATCAGGCCCTTTGTTTGCTTTTTTGTTATTCCAATCGAAGTGACAGGACTAGCTTGTTGAGGAGAGCTGAGAAGCTTGTCTAGCCTTGGCCCAACTTTTGAACAGTTTGGGTTTGCTCATCTGTTTCAGAGCATTCATTCCATTCACCTGGAGAACTGTTTGGCTCATGTTTGAATGCTGCCTTTCCAATCCTAGGAGACTCCACTTTCTTTTTTAGGCTCTTGTAATCTCCAGTGTCATGGTCTTTGCAGTGCAGTCATAAAAGACTTCAGGAAGAGATGTTGGCACTGCTTTGATCTCCAGTTTCAGCTTTGTCAAGTATCATTTTAGTGTGCTGTATGGTGTGTCCTGCTGTTAAATAAGACTAATGCTGCCTGAAGAGATGTTAGAATCAGGCCCTATAGAGCAGCGCACGGCAGGAGGATTAGCAGCAACCAGCATAATAAATGACAATGAGACATTCTGCCTTGATCTCAAGAAAAGGTTTTTCACTGTGATGATAGTCAAGCATTCGAACAGGTTCCCCAGAGGAGTTTTGAAGTCCCATCCTTGGAGGTTCTCCAGACCCTGTGCCACTTGGTCTGTGCTGCCACTGCTCTGAGCAGAGGTTGGATTGCAGACGTCCTGAGATCCCTTCCAACCAGAGCTATGCCACGATTCTCAGTGAGGGAAGAATCACAGAATCACTAAGGTTGGAAAAGACTTATAAGATCATCCAGTCCAACCATCCACCTATCACCAATGGTTCTCGCTAAATCATATCCCTCAACACAACATCCAAACGTTCCTTGAACACCTGCAGGGAAGGGGATTCCACCACCTCCCTGGGCAGCCCATTCCAGCGCCTGACCACCCTTTCAGGGAAGTAGTATTTCCTAATATCCAGAAGAAGGTGTACAAGAAGAGAAAACCAGTACGTGCTACTTGTTTGTCTGGTCCTTTGGTCTGTCTTCCACTTCAAAACATAATCCTCCTTTCTGTTCAATTTGTGCAGTCAAGTAACATTGCTTCGTTGTCCAGAAGGATCATCATTCTAAGTTATTTTGGGAAGCTTGTAGATGTATTTATTTTTATTATCATCACTATTTATTTTATTTTTAAGGCAGGACTGGGCCTTGCTGATTTTTCTGTGCTTGTCACAAATTTCTTCCTTACTTTGTTGCATAGATGGTATGATTCTGATTTATTGTACAGTTGTGGTGTTGGAGGAAGAATGCTAGGACTAGGATGTGATTAGTGAAAAGTAGGATCTCTCTATGGGGTCCCTAGAATGAAGGCAGAGCTTTAAAATGTAGCATAAAAGAAGCTGCTTAATTTTGATTTGTGTCTTTTCTTCAGCTGCACTCTGACAAGCTGGGTTTTGTGCTCATCTGTGGTTTCTTGCATTGTTCCTCTTTTGAGGTTAAATGTGATGTTCTGGTTCTGATATGGACCCTAAAAATATGGCATTTCAGGAGAAGGGTGAAAGAATATAAGTATCTGGTTCTTAGACAGTATTTATTTGCTTCAGTTTTTAATACCCTTTGTTCCTTTAAAGATATTAACATGTTGACTGCATTGCCTTTATTGCCCCCTTGCAAATTGCTATGTTGATTGAGTTAATTTAAACAACCTGGTTGGGACCTTCAGGCATTACTATACTAGAAATGTTAATAATGAATCAAATAACCACAGGTGCCTCTTCCCCCAGCAACAGACACTCTCCTTAAAAACTCATTTGCTTTTCATGCTTGCTTAATTATTTAGGCAAGCAGCCATGGTTGTTTCACAGTGTGAATTCTCATCGAGTTCCAACTGCCCAGTCTTCGTCTTTCTGAATGATAGAAGAACTTACCATCATCACCAGTTGTAATATTTTTCCACAATGCTGTGCCATGGTCATGAAAAGCCTTTTTAGAAATTGCTCATAGTGAAAGGGTATTGATTTATTAATTTAGAAACATGAATGAAGATTTTTGCTTGACTGTGATCACAACTTTATTGATTGTTACTGTCCAGAATTTAATGCATCTGGTACCTGTATGAATGGGGGATTCCCTCTTTCCCAAAGAAATTTAAAATTCTGGAATGTGTTAGGCTGATGAGCAGCTGAATTCCCATGGTACTGGTATGGAGGTATTTGTTATTTGTGGAAGTGGAAGTATATTGGTATTTGTGAACATGTCAGGCGTGATTCGAAATCAAGAGGAGATTATGAAAGGATGAGAGTCCCTATGGAAGTGTCCCTTTGAAATCAGCATCTGATGACTGACAGATGTGAAATGAAAAGACTCTGTCTCCGAAAAATACTGTGAAGGGCAAAGAGTATAATAAGTAGGAGGATTTTTCTATAAAGATCTAAGTGAATAATTGGAAACCATTCCCTCTCCAAGTGCCACTTTTAGCTAATACAGAGTGTTCTATAACAAGAGCAGAAATGATTGGTGAAAGACAACGTCTTGTAGAATCTTAATTTCTCCTGTAAAAACTTAAGGTTAGAAATAGGTTGCTTTGCAGTTCCTGTGTGAGCGTGTACTTTTTGTCTGAAAAAATGTCTTACTGTTCAAAAAAAAAAAGACAAAAACCAGGATGCACAGTGGCAGATCCATGTGCTTGCAAGTGAATTCCATTAAATGTGAACTGAATGTAAAATAATGTAGTAAAATATGAGGATATGTAGATATTTTAGAATACCCACTATAGAAGAGGTTGATGCTCCTTTCTGTTGTATTAAGTGTTGCTGCTCAAACCTAATGCTTGCATCTAATTTAGGGAATTTTAATATCTGATCAAACTATGAGAACAGTACAGAGATCACAAAGTCAATAAAACAATTGCTACACTTTGACTGAAGAGAGTTTGGGAAAATATAGGCTTTCATTTTGATTCTCATAAATCTAAGAAGTGGGGAAAAGAGACCAAAGTTAATGTGGTAAGCTTCAAAGCTGCTGCTGTTCGAGTCTAAACCAGACACATTGTTCTAGAAGGGCATTTTTGTTTATTCAACGTTCTAAGAAATCATAAAATTAGGTTTTATGAATGCAAATGTCATATGGTTCTAAATTTGGAACATGAAGCTTCTGATGGATTGGAGTAGATGAATTTTTATTATAAGTTCTTAATGACGAAAACTAGGCATTCAAGTAGCCCTCTAAATTAATCCCCTTAATTTTCAAAGCTCAGTGGTGTGCAAAAAATGTACAAAAGATGAATAAAGATAGGCTCTTTCTGTGTGCCTACTATAGATCTGTAATTTTTCCATCTGTCAGGAGGGGTGTGTGTGTATAATGGTTCAAATTAGTGACGGTGGTGTTAAATGTTATTGTGAGGGTCTTCTGCTAACACTGGAAATGATGTGCCTTGTTGAGCAAGTCATTACTGATTTTGGGGTGAGCTTTAGGCTGTATTGAATACCCTGCTTTGAATATTTGGTAAGTTCCAAGGATGATTAGTGTTTTGTTTTCTGGGGCTTGAAGTATTTCTTGAACTGATTTGCCAGGAAAACTGGAACCATTTGAGTATTCCTGATTCTTTCTGTGCCTTTACACTGACATTAAAGAAGTGTGAGCTTCGATACAGAGCACGTAATGCACTGAGTATCATACCTTCTTTCTGAATTGGTAGCATCCAGATAGCAAAGTGTTCTTGTGATCAAAGGAAAACCCTGATGTACCATTTCAATTTGAATTTGTTATTTTGTGTAAATACACTGCCTACATCTTGCAGTCGGGTCATAAAACACTGCCGACATGGGTGAGGTGGAAAAGCAGGTTGGGTTTGAGTCTATTGCTTCTCAGAGCATGGATCTGGAGACCTTTAGGTAGGGCGAGGATGGGAATTTTAAAGTAAGTCAGTCATGGCAGTTTTATAATGCATTTTTCTTTGCTTTAGCTTTAATTCAGCACTTGTTTTTTTAGAATATAGCTTAAAAAAAAAAAAAAAAAAAGGAAGAACCCTGCCTTCTTATGTCTCTTTGTATTTATTTGTTCTTTGATGATTGCATTTCTGGAAAGTTTCCTTGGGAGGAGTTTTGTATAATGACGTGGTTAGATGGGGATATGCATGAAGAACTTTGGATATCCTGGCAGAAAATCCAGAGGGAAAAATACTTGACTGAATCCGAGGCTTTCTCTAGACTAAATTGAAGGAACTAGATGAGTTTGTGACGCTCTGATGGAAACACTGCATGTACTTGGCTCCACTGAAGTAACTTTATTGATTTGTGCAGTGAAATCATCCTTGCAGAGCAAGATCTAAGTGATGAGGTTCAAGATTTATAGTAATTCGGTCAGCCAACTTAGAAGGCTGAAACTACAGCCAAACCCCCACTCTTTATGTTAATATTTTTTGGACAGAAGGTCAAAACAGTCCATTCCAAAGTTGCAGTGAACGTTGAGCATTGAAAGCCAGCTGAAACACTGCAGCTATTTTGCTTCAGTAATGTCTCTGTGGCTCATGGAAAGTCACGTGCTCCCAAGCTCCTGTATGAATTGCCAGATTCAGTAGATGCTTATTTTTCTCTGCTGAATTCGATGACTTATTTCCTAAGTACACTTCTTATTCAGAGGCTATATTTTGTTTGCTTCCTTGCCATAGAATAGTACTGCTATGTCATCTGGCAAAAGGATGGTAGTATTTCAGACTGCACTTCTGTTTGGGATGGGCCAATCTAACCATCAGTCGCACAAAGCATGGAATGTATCCAGTGATCTCCACTAAATATGGACTAAATTAATGCCATATCACGTACACTTACTTGATTGAGCATTTACTTTCAGGGCATGTGATAATTCTGAGGATTTATTTGAAATCTTTTTACATTTGAATTCACATACCAAAAGAAATCATGCTAAGAAAGTTTTCGCATGAAGAAGAGCAAGGCTAGGTGAAAGTGTGCCAATATTTTGTTTGCTTTGTCACTAGCTTGGTGAAGCATCTATATGCTTGAGGGGAAAGCTGCTTTTAAACTGGTAAAGTTCTTTTCTTAAACTGAAGGGCAGTGTTTGGTAACAGGTTATGTATTTCCATGGACAACGCTGTTGTGTCACCGGCTGCTTAGTGAACACGTTCATCCTCATGGCACAGGAAAGACAGAGGCAGTTCTGTTGCATGAAAGCAATAGAGAACACACTACCAGGAAAAAAAAATAAAAACAAACCTCCACCTTTTTGTTTGTCTAGGAGGAGAATAGAGTTTTTTATACTGACTTCAACCTTTATGGGTGCTTTGGGAAGGTGAGGATGGAGCTTCGTGGGAATGTTTGGAGCTAATTGGGAATTGAAGAATATCCTGCCTTTCTTGTTGACCACAAAACACATCTTAAGATAGTGAAATAAAACTTCCTTAGTCTTTACAAACACAGCTGTAATTGCCTATGCCATAAATTGCAAATCAGAGTATGAAGAGCAGCTCCTCCCATCACTTTACATCCTCCGAGTTGAGCAGTTGGGGTGGAGAGCAGAGAGTGGTGGTGTGGAAAGTGGGGCTCTGCTGGGCTCCTTAGATTTGCTGTGCTTTAGAGTTGCTTTTTTTTTTTTTCAGGTTTGTTTGAATTTTTTTTTCTTGTAAATGATGAGTGAGGTGGGTCAATGTCCAAACTGATGAGAACCAACAAATAACATAGGGGCATGTAGCACTGCTCCTTTCCTTGGTGGAAAAGTTTGGTTTGCATCTGTGCAGCACTTAATTATCTCACTTAACATGATTGTATGGAGCTGAAATTTGCACTAACTTGTGATTATTTGCTGAGGGTCTGCTATCACAAGATAAATGATGCTGTAAAGTCTACTTACTGCTTTAAGATGTTAGGTGATAACTGAGAAGTTGTCCAAGTACTACAGAACACCACTGAGTCCACTGAGGAGCATAATGAACAGCTCTTTGTAGGTTTCTTTCACTATCAACTTATGCTTTGATTTCCATCACTTGTGCAGCTTTTGACGAGCACCAGTTCTGCTCTGTGCCTGTATTTCTTGCATTACTTTAATTGAAATTCTTAAAGCAAGTTGTATAAGATTTCAAAAAGTTTTTTTTTTTCCTTTACAATTAAAAGGTGTGTTGAAAACATTTGTGGTTTAAGATTTAAATAATGATTTTTGTCTTTTACCAGGTGAATGTCTATGTGCTGGGAAAAACTTTCCTTCTGTTGGCAAGAGAACTCTGCATAAATGCTCCAGCCATAGGTACTTCTTTACTTTGACTTTTGGGTATATTTTTGTATGATTTCTTTAGAAGAATCTGTTATGTATGTGTCTGTAGTACTGATCTGCTAAAGCGATAACTTAAAATGAAGCTGGAATCAATCCAGCAATACTGGCCTGTCTCCTTTATGTAGGACCTTAGAGGTGGTAGATGCTGTCGTCTTCTACAATTTTGATGCTTTTTCTGCAAGTAGCTTAGGCTATATTAAGACAATAGACTGATGGTACATGACAAATGTGTGCTTATCTGCAAGTTTGCATTGGCCTGTAAAACTTCAGCTCCACAAGAACATCTTGTAAGCATTTGCTAAACAGACTGTCAGTCCATTGCAGTGTTCAGTGCTGGAAATACAAGTGACCTGAAGGAAAACAGAGTGCAGCATTTTCAAAGTATGCAGCTTTTTCCCAGGTATTTGAATAGCTTTTTAATTAGTAAATCAGTGTTCAGATCATAGCACACAGTGTTATGTGTCAGAAGGGTGAAAAGCTCTTGTCTAGGTTGTAGCTTTTGAGCCAAGGGAATTCATGCCAATTCCTGCTATAAAAAAGTGAGTTTTTAGAGAGGTCTTGTGACTATTGCCCACCTCTGTGTAGAATTCTTTTCCCTGTATCTTAACCCACCATCACTCCCACTCTGCTTAATCTGTACTGAGAGAATCAGATGCCTTTGTGCTCAAGAACACATGCACCCTCCTTCAGATGTACTTAGCTGGTCACATAACTGTGTTCCTGCTCTTTCAGTTTGCAGCAAGAGAAGCAGCAGCTCCCATACTGTGCATCATCATAATGGTATCCAGAAAGCAGTATATAGGCAGGACACAGCTATCTCCCATTGTTGCTGTGAGCAGGATTAGTTGGTAAATCAGTTAGCACAGCCTGATGTTCTGTACAGACATCTTGTTTCCAATAATTCAGTTCTCTTATTTCTTTTCCTGTTTTTTTTGTTTGTTTGTTTTCTGAGAGAAGAGGCAAAATTTTATTACAGTTTAGTTTCAAGGTAAAAAAATAATGCAGCTCAGGTAAGAAAAACAAACAGAACTTGAAGTTGAAAGTAGAGGTACCTGTTATGTGCTTAAAAAATGGTAAATTAGATCATTCTATGATTACAATGCTTTTATAAAGAACAGTAAGAACTACCATTGGTTCAGCTGTAAGGGTGGTCAGATGCTTGAGGAATACACCTATCTTAGTCTCTGAGAAAACTGAAGGATGCTAGCTATAAAAATGACTGATAGCCCCAAAACTACACAGGGAGAAAAAAGGCCTGGCAGCTTTTCCTTACGGTGGCTTCCCTCAGTAATTTTGAGTGACCGTACTGTAAATCTGTCTGCTCCTACAGGCGAGATGTGATGTATATTTAAGTAGTGGCTGTCAGCGTTACAGCTTGTGACTGCATGAGGCTTTATCTGTCTGTCCTGACAATGGCTGCTCAAGTCTGGTGCATTCTGACAGTGCAAGTGTTATTGCTGCTGTTTGCTGGGCAGGGTGGAGGTTAACACACATGATGCCAAAAGCAGAATGCAAACAGACACAAGGTTTCATCAGTGCTGCTTATGCTCAGGTTTTTTCTGTTCAGCTGAGGTGACCCACAGCCAACCTCTGAGCTTCCTTCCTCCTGTCCTTCTTGGTGAAGGACAATGAGGGCTGCCTGATGGATGGGCTCTGCAGGTGGGGGAGCCTTTCTATGTGCGGCGCTGCTCCCACCTTGCAGAGGACAGGCAGCCAGTGGTGTTACCACCCATTAACTACACTGTAGCTGAATTAACAGACAAGCCATAACATCAGTAAGGGGCAGTACGCAGGATTTAGGGCAAGTAGAAATGTTTTATATTTCACCAATTCATAAACTGCTCTAGTTTAGAACATTCTGTTTGAGTCAGCTGCAGTCTGCAAGTTAGTTATCTATATACAAAATAAATGCACTGTATGTGCAAAATTTAACATTTTTCTGCTCACTGCAGTCTTAATTAAGTCAAATAGCTTATGAATAAATAAAATAAGATTAAATTCAAGAGCATTCCTTCACTTATTGGGTATAGCCTGATGTAGCAGATAGGTAAGTAGCGTAACATTCCATACTGCTGTACAGTTCTGTAGTAAAACCGAAGAATCCCTTAATGTGCAGCGTTGCAGTACTGGAATACAATCAAGGTGAAATGCATCATGCATAGAAAATGAGCTCAGGAATTTGTCCTCCTTGTACACCAGTCCCGTTGGTGCTGTCTGAGGAGCACTGGAACTGGAAGGTCACTTTCCCACACTGCACTTCAGTCATTCCCTCCTGCCCGAAGTAACTGAGCTCATTGCCGTCCAGAATGGCACTTACATTGTAAAACGTGTCCTGCTCAACCTGCACCGGGTGCTCAAACCACACCGAGAAGGTATTACTGGAGCCGTCGGAGGTAAACTTTGTCAGATTCTGAGCAAGGACAACTCCTAAGCGCTTCAGTTCAATTTTGACGCTGTATTCAGCTTTGCCACAACTCGACCCATACAATCCCAGTCCCGCTATAAATATCCGTTTGTCTACAGCAAACTGAATACTGTCGCACCGCCCCCGGTACCTCCACTGGTTACTGCGGTACGCGGACGACTGAAAGCGATGGCAGCGCTGCGGCACCAGTCCTTTCCTTTTTGTCAGCGGAAACTCGAGTTTGGGTTTGTTGGCAGCCGTGTACCACAGGAATATGTTGTGCGTCTCCTCCAGCGTGAGGATGTCAGACTGGGCCGCCCCGTTGGCGAACTCTTCCAAAGTCATCGTGGGGATCCGCACCAAGTACAGCGCTTTCCCCAACACGTTCCTCTTGTTGCGCGGCGTCACCGGCAGCCCCTGCCTCTTGCACTCTGCCTCTGCCCAGTTGAGAACGGCCTCGAACACCACCACCTCCTTGGTGTTGAGGGCCTCCCGCGTCACGATGATCTCCAGCGTCTGCAGGTCGATCTCGCAGAACCCTTCCGACTTGAGCGCCATCTCAGCCTGGGCGTCGATCACCTCCCAGCAGCGCTGCGTCAGCTCTGGCTCCTCGAAGAGCCGGCTCTGGGACAGCAGGACGCACGCGTTCTTCGCCTCCAAGCTCGTCTCCAGAAAGTTGACGCACGCCTTCGCCAGGGCCGGCACGATGTACTTCTTGGCAGCATAGAGCGTCGCCAGCACCGTGTCGGCTTCCAGGTCTATCTCATCGCTGTACATGTATCTAGGTGAGAAAAGAAGTTTCTTAAGGGAAAGCGTACAAGCACAGCCCGTGGAAAACTCATCTCTAGTCATCGTTGCTGGCTGTTAGTCAGACATTCAGCATCTGACAGCTCATGAAGCATTAATACGTGCGCGTTGCACGACGCCGAGCGGGAGCTGCATATTCTATAAGCCACTTTGATTCCGTCCACGTAATTAGTAGACTCGGAGCGGCCACTTACTTTAATAGGATTAGAAAGGCTGCGGGTTCCACATCTGGGATATGGATTTCGGATTTGACCTCGGCGAGATCGCCGTAAAACATAGCGTAGAAGACGGAGCTGCCCACTGCCAGCACGTACTGCAAAACACAGAGAGCACCTCAGCACCGCGCCGCTCCCTGCGACCGCCCCACGCGCGCAGCGCTGCTGGGACGACGAGAACCGAGACGCGGAACCCGTGTGCGCGCAGCGAGCCGCGCTCCGCACCAACCTTATGGGCAGGAACTTTCTTGGATGCCCCCGGCGGGCCCACGATGAAGTGGACGTCAGCCATGAGCTCGTTATTGAACATCAGCGCGTTCCTGCGGACGAGGGCAGGGAGAGGCCGATTAGCGGCGGGCGGCCCGGACCCGCGCACCCACCCGACCCGGGGGGGCGCCCGGCCTCACCTCTCGCGCAGCGTGGGGTGGCACGACTGCCAGCTGGCGCTCTCCAAGTTGTTGTTGTTGAGGTTCTGGAGCTGGGGCGGCGGGGGCGGCTGCGCGCTCTGCTGCAGCTGCAGCGCGGGCTTCTTGCTGCCGGCGGCGGCGGCGGCGGCGTTGCTGTTGGCGATATTGGTGTTGGCAGGGTAAAGTTCTGCGGCCATCTTCTTCTTCAGGGCCAGGGGCACTGCCTCAGAGCATCCTGGCGCCTTGCCGTTTGACCTGACGCTCTTTTTGGACTTCTTTAAGGTCTCTGGAAGCAGAAGAAAAAAAGTCAAACACTTCATGATCCTGCCATTGAGGCACCCATGGGGCAGTGGCATCGGCGAGAGGCACCGCCGGCTCCCGAACCAGGTCCCGCGGCGTGGATGGGCGCTCCCAGGCCGCCGTCACGGGGCGCTCCGGTGCTCACCTCGCAGCGGGCAGTGCGGGCGGGCGGCTCCCGCCCCCGGGGAGGAGGAAGAGAAGAAAAACCAGCCAAAAAAAAAAAAAAAAAGCCAAAAAAAAAAAAAAAAAAAAACAGCACACCACCAAAATCCCCACAGATCCAGCAGGGCACGGCGTCAGTCCGCAGATCCTCCAGGTGTTACCGCCCGCCGCCGGCTCCCCGCTGCCAGCGGCGCTCCGCTCCGTCCTTCCCCTCCCGGTGCTGGAGGCGGCGGCGGCGGGGGCACATCCGGGCCGGGGCGGCGGCGGCTCTCCGCAGTCCGCTGCCGGGCGCACCAACTTTCCTCCTCCTCCTCCTCTCCCCGCGGCGGCCGCCTCCTCCTCCTCCTCCTCCGCCGCCGCACGGCGCTGCTCCTCCGCGCTGCTCCCGCCCGCCCCGGGGGCGTTGCTGGCGGCGGGGCGCCCCGGCTGCTCGGCGGCGGAGGCAGCGCTGCCCCGGGCGCTCCCCTCGCGGCTGTGCTCGGCGCGGCTCTGCCGGGCCCTGCCTCCTCCTCCCGCCCTAAGAGGCAGCGCCGCGCCGCGCGTCACGGCCCCCGCGCCAATGGGGAGCGCCGGGGCGCGGCGGGGAGAGCCGCCCCCCGCTCGGCGACGTGCGCCGGGCAGCGCCGCCCGCTTCTCCCACCGCGCCCGCTCGGGGGCGCTGTGCCGAGCGCTGCCGGAATGGCGCCGCGGAGCGACCCGGGCCGAGCGGCCTCGGAGCTGCCCGGGCGGCCCGGGCGGGGGCGCCGCCGCGCCGTGCACTGCGGTGGGGGGAGGCCGGGCCGGCGGCGGGGACGTGGCCGGGGCTGAACTGCGGGAAGAAAGCGAAGCGCGGGGCTGCTGCGCTGCGATCTGCTGCAGGGCTTTCTCTCCTGATTCATTTCTCTCTCTCTTTTTTTTCTTTCATAGCTTGTCTCCCATTTATCTTTCTCCACCGTTTTATTTTCCTCTCTTTACTTTTTCACCACCCCCTTTTTTTTTTCTTTTCACTTTTCTCCTTCCCCTTCCATTTCTCCTCCTATTTTCCTCCCCTTTTACTTCTCCCTTTCCGTTCCCCCAGTTCTACTTCCTACCTTCTATTTTTTTTGCTCCCTTTTGCTTTCCCGTTTCTTTTTTTCTCCTTTTACTTTTCTTCCCCCACCCTTTATCTGCTCCCCTTTAATCTCACCCCACTTTTCATCTTCCCCTTTTATTTTTTCCCCTTCCTATTGTCCCTTTTTTATCTCCCACCCCTTTTAGCTTTCCTCCCTCTTTAATCTCTCCTCCTTTTTTTTTTCCCCCTTCTGTTGCCTTGCAGACCCCCACCCTTCACCCCACAGCTCCATGCTGTGCCCTCAGCCCAGGGTCTGTCTGTAGGCAGGGGCTGTGCTGCTGCTTACAGGACCTGCATGGAAGGACTGCCGTTGGTTTCAGCAGCATTTTACGAGTGTTTGTTCATTATTATTTTTTAATCCATGTGGCAGACAGTCATGTTAACTTTGGCCCCAGTTTAATTTATGTATTGGTGGCGTTACTTTTTGGCTTTTTATGGCCTCTTTTGCTATTGGCTTTTCACTCAAAACCATCCACACGTTCGTATTCTGGCTGTTTAGTAGCTTTCAGAATTTAAATTAAGTGCATGTTATGTTTTGTCAAATGACCTGTGGGCACAAGTGCTGGCAGAAAACTGAGCAGCTTCTGTGCAGATGCACGCAAACACCCCCCAACTCCTCTGTCTCACCCTGGAGCTGGGTCCCTGCCCTTTGTGGCAGCCCTGACCCCTTGCAGGGTAGCTCTGACCCTGTACTGGAAGGCACAGACCCCATGTAAGGCAGTCCGACCCCATACAGGGCAGCTAGGAATGGGCTGGGTGCTGCCAGCTGGCATTGCGCACAGCACTGCAACAATAGCAAAGTTGCATGTCCACTGAGTTTGAGTATTACTTCTGGAAGTGTTCTGCATTTTGGAATTGGTTGGTTTTGTTTACTAGCATGAAAAATTCACACTTTTCCTAAAGCTGTGATTGTGCCAATACTCGTTTTTACTTGAAAGCACTTGGAAGCAGGTTTCCTTAAGCTGTTCTCCCAGACAATTCACTTGCAGTGGGCACTTTAACGTGGGCAGGGATCTGCTGGCACATGGCACAGCCATCCTAAAGAATCACAGGGATCCATCGATCATTCCCAAACCTTTGGTTTTTATGGCCGTGGTCAGGAGGTTACTACTTTTAAGGTTAAAATCTTAAGGTTTGGCTTAAAATCTTAAGGTTTGAGGGAGATGTGTTTGGAAGTCGTTGCTCGATCCACGCAACACTTTCATGTAAATGCCTTTGTGTAGCCATGTACTGCTGGTGTGGGTAATTAGGGATAGCAACAGGGCATCGTTGTCAGAGCTTGGTGCCACATGGAAGCACTCTGATTAGTTGTAAATCTGCGGCTGCTGCAGCGCTTTGAGCTGAATTTTCATCTTTATCAGTGTAAGTGCCCACAGAGGAGATCAGCTAAGGAAATTGAGTCGGGGCTAATAGTTAACAATTTACCTTACATCATGGATTTTCGGTCAAGTGATAAAAGGCAGGCAGGAAATGAGTGGCTGATACCTCAAATCAGAGTAAACATGTGTTACGTGCGGCTTTTACAAGATTGTTTGATAAATTATAAATTGGGTTAGGCAAAGCACAATCCGCGCTGACAGATTTCGGTGGGTCTGAACCTGATAACACCAACACTTGAAATGAGTTTATACATCAGGAGACACATCCTGGGCTGATGTAAATCGTCGTAGGCTGTTGACGTTAATTGGGTTCCAGCAATTTGTGCCTGGATACAGCTTTGAACCCTGGAAAGCTCTAAGGACAACATGCTTTTAAAGCCTCTTGTCTGTAAGTGAGGAAGGATTTTGTTTTAGCTACGCCTGTAGTGAAAAGGTGATCCTAAATCTTCATCTGTGCTGCTTTCTGCTTGTTCCCTGAGATGTGAAGCAAGCCGACCATGACGGCCACGCAGTTCTGTGTGTCATAAATCAAGGTTTGGGATTAGGAGTAATTGTGTTACTTTCTTTTGCAGATCCGTGTTTATATATTCCTCGTTTTGCCCATATGCTGGAATTTGGGGATAAGAACCATGAAGTGTCCATGACGGCTCTCAGGCTACTGCAGAGAATGAAGCGAGACTGGATGCACACTGGCCGCCGGCCATCTGGGCTCTGCGGGGCAGGTGTGTGAGATATGGGCTGTGAGATATGTCAGATGTGTGAGATGTGGGGTGTCAGATGTGTGAGATGCAGGGTGCCAGGTATGTGAGATGTGAGGTGCGTTGCTCCACCTGAAGCAGGTTGTGCAAGAAGTTCTGGGAAACTGGGAATATCTGTGGACTTTCCCATTTCCTAGGAACTCAAACTTCAGTTCTATATTCTTTGCTCAGATCCTTTACCTCTTACATCTAGTGTTTTAACCTTTCTGGGTTAAAACACTCCTCTCACTCCCATTCTGCAAGCTATAGCTTTCTGTCAGTTAAAACTGCACCATTAGTGCAAGCACTTGGATATGTGTCTTTACACTGATTCTTATGCAAGAAATGCCCTCTCTGACCTAATATGTGAAATTATTTTCTTCTCAGTCTTTTTCCAAGATTCATTGCAGGCATGGTGTTTACAAAAACGTACAGGACTAGGCTAAAAAATGGTTGATACCAGCTAGTGAGGTCAGACTAATGCATATAGTGCATATAGCCACAAAGTTAGCGTATACACTTCATTGTATTTGAAAGATCTTGTATGTGCATGCTTGAGTAGTGCATAGCCATAGGAAACCCAAAACTATGCATTCTTCTTACAGGCTGAGAGAGCTGGGGCCATTCAGCCTGGAGAAGAGAAAGTTCTGGGGACTCGTGAGAGTGGCCTTTCAATATCTAGAGGGGGGCTGTAAGAAAGAAGAGACAGATTCTTTAGTGGGGTCTGTTTTGACAGGACAAGGGGAAATGGTTTCAAACCATTCTATAAGTTGAAGCAGGAGGTGCTGAGTTCCTACATCCTTCCACACGATAAACAGCACATGGAGTTCATGGCTTCTTTTGGTTCCTTGGCCTACATGTCTGTGCCACACATTGTCTGGAGCTGTGTGAAGGAGCAGTCATTTGATGTTCCTATTAGGAACTGGAGCCATTCTGCATGTGCCTGAACTGGAGCTCTGGTTTTGTTTCCTCTGGAGGAAACCACTTCTGCATGCTTAAACCTGTTTTGCCCACTGAACCACCGTGTGATGAATGAATGAGGTTGATGCCTCAAAACTGTCCTGCTGCTCTGAATCAAAACACTAATGCAAATGCAACCTATTGCTGTGTAGAGGGTCTTGCACACCAGCACTTGTGCACCAGCAGGCTGGTGGTAATGGTCACAGCACTGAGGAGAACAGCTTAAGCAGGTTCTGTGTTTTGCTTCCAGGGATTTAACTGGAGAGCTTTTTATTCAACTAGTAAGTTCTGCTAAAAAGATGATCACTTTGACAATGTGTGATCAGTCTGATGCTCTTGTGCCATATTGGAATAGCTGTGGTTTCCACGGTGAGCTAAAGTGTAAAATTGTTAGGGTGCAGTTTGCAATCAGCTTAGTTTTATTGGGTAGGAACAAAGTCTGTAAAGTTGAGTCATTCACATGTATTCAAGGATGCAGCTGAACGTAAGCATTTCGTGCTCTTTATCTGAAGGCAGGGGCAAAGAGAGGGTATCATTATCTGTCTGTTTTCTGCTTTTCTTCAGCAAATTTTCCTCTTTCTGACATTGACTGTCCCTGCTTATTCTCCAGCTCTGTTAGTGGCAGCGAGAATGCATGATTTCCGCCGCACTGTTAAAGAGGTCATCAGGGTGGTCAAGGTTTGTGAGTCTACGCTAAGGAAAAGGTCGGTGCCATTTTATTACTTTTATCTTTCGTTTACAGAACTGAAAAGTGGTGTCGTTTAAAATGGATATATATCAGAGAAGACTATGTTGTTTTACTTTTCACAAGTGCCAGGAATAAAATAAGTACAATGTGTTTAGCTGGTCATATTGAAGTACTAACCCTGCCTCTTATGTAAGGCCTCAAATGCTTAGCAGAGGCGGTAGGAAACACTGTGCCTTTACAGGTTTAACAGGTGAGGAGTTTAAGTCAGACAGTATTTGGTCATAAATGTTAACAGAGGAAATAATTGATCGATTCTCAAAGCTGAGGATGTCCCATAGGATTTTCTTACCTTGATCTAGAATACTGCACTGGAAATCACAGAATCACAGAATGGCCAGGGTTGGAAGGGACCTCTAGGATCATGAATCTCCAACCCTCATGCCACACGCAGGGCCACCAACCTCCACATTCAATACTAGACCAGGCTGCCCAGGGCCCCATCCAACCTGGCCTTGAACACCTCCATGGATGGGGCATCCACAACCTCTCTGGGCAGCTGTTCCAGCACCTCACCACTCTCTCTGTAAAGAGCTTCCCCCTGAAGTCTTATCCTTTTGCTGTTTAGAACTTTACAAACTATTTTGATAAAATGTTCATTTTCAATATTGTTGCACTGCTAATAAATGGAATACAGCACAACGGCTTGAATAATAACTTCACCGAAGGGATTCGATGTGGTGCTATCAGCAGAAAGTAAGAATTTTGCCTGTACCTTTGAATTGGTTCTTGTTGAACAGTTCTAGTAACACTTTCATGTATTGACGATGTCAGCATTAGTAGCAGTCACCCAACTTCTCCCAGGTTTGAAAATCTGTAGCCTTTTCTTTTAGGTTTGTGAAAATTGACCTAACTGTGAAGTGCCAAACTTCTTGTTGCCCTCAGTACAAAATTTTTCTACCAGCAGAATATTTTGAAGTTGGCTGAACCAAAGTTTGTCTTTAGAAAGTTCCCCTGGTGTTTTACTTTCTCACCCCGTTGAGACTGGTCTAGGCACATCTAGCTGAATCTAATTTTTGTTAATAGTATTCACTTCTTAATCATGAAAAATATATTTGCTCTAGATCTTCATTTGTGGAGCAGGAGTGATAATATTTCCCTGCCTTGCCTGGGTGCTGCAGGGATACAGTTAAACTGTTTAAATGGCTGTAGGCACTATAACAGTTAGGATGAATGAATACAAATGCCACTTTTTTTCCTGTGGTCAACAGGTCATGTATTCTAACGTGCATGTTGTAGAATTGATGATTTATGCGCCCACAGTCAATTCCAAGACACCTTGGTTACGTGGTTGAATAGTTCATTCGTACTGAGAAAATAAGCATAATAAACTGGAGTTGGAAGGAAAATTAATTTGAGCAATTGTTTCAAGCGGAGAGATCTTGCTTCAAAATTCATGCTTTGAAATGTTTACTCAAGTCACACACATCAACTGAAATGACAGCGTTATTTACTTTGACAGGGTAAACGTGACAGCTGAATTATTTTCAAGCAGCTATAATTACAACTATATTTATCATGAATCTATAAATTTGATTGATGTTTTTCAAATAAGAGCATGTTATATAGTATTTAATGAAGGCAAATAAAAAATACCATTGAATAACTGTTTCTGCACCCCATTTTTTTCCTCCTCTTTCAAGAATTGCTCTCAAGATGCCATCAAGGGGAAGTTGTCTGGATTAATAAGCAGTTGTTTCATGTTCTTAAGAGATTCTTTGCTTCTTTTGCATCGTCTGATGTAGATTTACTTCCTTTTAATTGTTGCTGTAGCGATTCTCATCTGCAAAGAGCTGCTGCTGCTCTGTGTGTTGGGAAGCTGCGGAGTGTGGTTGGGTGGAAGAGCGATCATGGGCTGCCTAGGGTGCTGTGCTTGCTGCTGGTGGCTTTCCTTGGAAAGCCCTTGAAGGAAACCAAGAGGAAGTCCAGATCATGCTGATAATTCCAGCCTCCAGGTTCTCCCTGTGTTATGGTTGGATTTTCACGTCCCTTCCTTCCATGTGTGGGGTAGACAGTGCTGTACAGATCAGTGGCCAAGGAGGTAGGAACGACGGGTTTTAAGAAGGCTGTGTTAAGCTTACTGCTGTGCCCCAGGGAGTGGGGGGTGAGGATGCTCACCAAAACGTGCTGTACCTTCAGGTCTTAAAAATGAATGAACTGGTCATAAACAGAATCTGGCTCGAAGGAAGGAAGTAACAAAGCATGGAAGTAGCCTTTAGACCCTGTCATCCATCTTCAAATCAGGATGTTTTAATCTAACTGTTTGGCTGCAGAACGGAGTGACTTTATTTCTAGCACGTGTGGCTTTGGTAAGGGCTCAGTGAGAAAACTTTGTAGTTACTTCACAGGGCCTTTTTGCTTTAGGTTTGGAAGCACACAATTAAAATGTAAAGCTTGTTGCTGTTGTTGAAAGGGAACACATTAAATATTAATAAACGTAGTGATAATTCTATCTGTCTCGCTTCCAGTCTAATTGAAATGATATTAACTTACAGATCACTCTATATATTCAGAGTACTGTACAAATATTAACTAATTAGTCAAATTGTTATTTTTTTTTTGGTGTAATCTTCTGTGGAGATAACAGAAATTAACTTTTCCTAAACTCAGTGCTCTTATTTAATTCTCCCAACTGTGCCTGTTTAATGCACCTGTCTTCACTTCTGCTTCTTTAACATTTACATACGCTGCCCCCTCGTCTTTCTATTCACTGCTGCATACTTTTTCTGCACACTAAATTATGTTCTTCGTGCAGTAGGAATAATTTTTGTGATATTTTTCCACTGTATATTATCTAATACGGTGCGGCCCTAATGCGTGTTTGAAGATCTTAGGCATTACTTCAATAGAAATTAAAAAAATCAGCTTATCTTTGTTAACACTTGCATTTTACTTCTTTGGTTCACTCTCTTTATCTTTAAATAAGCTGCTTTTTGCATTAAAAGAAATTTCTTCTCAGTTCCACGAAGTACTGTCTGTTAAAAACCTATTTGTGATGAACTTCAGACAGAGTAACGTATCAGCAGAAGTGAAGCTTGATTGGGAAGGAGTTGAAATGAAAGGCCAGAACAGCACCAGAGCTCATTTATGAGGCGAATATTTCTTCACACAACAAAACAGTAGAGGAAGACAAAACCTCTTGATAAAGGAGCACTGTTTACCACTCAGGGTGGAGATGCTGAGGTGCTTTCTGAAACAGGATCTTTTGGTTGTGTTCTGGGGATCCAGCTCCAGCTCTTTCAATGATGACTTTGGAAATTGTCTGGAAAAATGAATGACTCATGCACAGAGATAAGTGTGCTGCCCGTAGCTTTTCTTGTTCTCACTGCAGCAATATCTAGTTCATGTAAACTTGGTGTCCAAACTCCTGCTGCAGTCTCAAGATGGGCAGACTTCTGCAAGCAGAAGCAAAGAGAGGAGTGGTTTGGTGTGTGAGCTCAGAGCGAGGATGGGGAGAGAAGGCAATGGGGATGCTGCACAGGTGGCTGCAGGGCCAGGTTTTCCAGAATACCAAAGCTGTATCACAGCCAGAGCTGAAGGGAAGGCTGTCTGGAAGTCGGAGTTCTGCTCTGATACATGTACAGTTGTACTAAAACCCTGTGCCAGACTGAGAGAGCAAATGGAGAAATATTTTATGTCTCAAGTTAAATAATGGAGAAATGTCTGAAGTCCCAAGGTAAATATTCAAGTGGCTTATAGGTGGTTTCTAGAAATCTTTCTAGGAGAGTGAGTCAAATGGGGCTCGACCCGGGCCTGTTGGTATTGCATACTTTTGCAAGCTTGTTTGTCTGTTGCAATGACACAAGGTTTTGTTTTTGATGAATCCAATTTTGCCGGCTGCGTTACTTTTTATAAATCTGACTTCTTTACAGCTCGTAAGCTAATGCATTAATTAGAGTCCTAATATGTTTCAGTACTTCATGCTTATTTTAAAAACTGCCATTTCAAATTTATTTGGTGGCTGTTACTTTTGATACAATAATTAACTTCTTAGCACTAACTCGGGCTTAGATCTTGTAAACAGTTTTCTCTGTGTTTGACTTTGCTCGTCTGAGCGGCTCTGCTAAGAAATGAAGCCACGTGCTATTTTTCTTTTCCAGGAGATCACAGAATGTTTTGACAGAGTGCAGTGGAGGAACCGTGCTAATGGAGCACAATTTTAAGTAGCACTGTAGCATTTTATTACTGTGGTGTGAGCACTGGAACTGGGGGAAAGACAAGGACAAAGAATTCCAGTGGGTTTGGACTGATTCAGGACAGCCCATCATTGGGCTGATTAGTGGGTTAGTTGGTGCATACAGGTGTTGACAACTGTGTGTAAGCATTTGCGGAATTAGAAAAAAAATAATGATAACAAATTGGTGATATTTTACATCTCTGTTTTGGTGGAAGCAAGCAAAAGGTACTGATTCTTAAAGAATCATGTACTGATTCATACAAGAATAAATCTTTCAAGCTACCTATTATTTAATATTAAACAAACAAACAAAAAAAGAATTACTAGCAAATGAGCGCCGTAAATGATCAGCTCCCAGCTAATTTGCAGTAAATGACTGTGTGTGCTCTTAGTCCATCACAAAAACAGATGACATACATTAACGTAGGACACCGTGGAAGTTGTTTTTAGAGAAAATAATTCTAGGTGTGTTGGGGTAGGAGCACAGGGAGGGTAATTTAGCACAGCTCAGGTGATAAGTTGTACATTGTAAAAGTACAGCAATCAGGTGACCTCTGATTTAGTCCCCACCTTTTAGTAATGAGATACCTACTCAGTAAGCTTTAAAAACATCCTTTTTATGTTGTTGCAAGTTGTATGTTGTTATACAGATGTAGGTTGCTCTGAAAGTAATGCCTCCTATTTATTTCCAAGGAAACTACAAGAGCTACAAAGAGTGCAATAACACTGTTTGATACAGCAAATTTTCAGCTACAAAACAGTATTTTTCAACACAGTCACCACCACTAGCTCTGCATTTTCTCCAGCAATGAGCAAGAGCCTTCATGCAGTGCTAGTAACAGACTGCACCAACAGAGATGACCCGCTGCGGAAATGCACCATCCATGGCCTCACTGAACTCACAACCACTGTTTGGTCATTATCAATGTTCAATTAGCGTTGATGAATGTCAGTGGGTGCTATTTTTTCTGCGTGGTGGAATTCAATTCCATCCCTCTGCTTCATTTGTACTTCCACGTGAGATGCCATTCTGTCAGACTGCCCCTCTACTGCCATCTGTCACACGGCAACAACACATAATGGGATATTGGTGGGAAGGTTCATCTTCTACTGCCATACCACCACCAATCTGCCTTTGACATCATGGGTCAATATAATAAAATAGGAGGTATTACTTTCGGAGCATCTCTTGCATATAAAGGATATTGCACTTGTAGTTGTTTACATACTAGGGGATACTGGAGAACTTACATCCTGTAGGAAGCATTTCATATCTATTTCTGATACATGTTCTATATTAAGTATCACTGGTAGAGTATGCCTTTATGTACTTCCATAAATAGTTCATGCATAAACATTGCATAGCTTGGAAAAAATGGGTACAGGAGGATGATGCAAGAGACATTTGTAATTTAGTAAACAGTGACCATTTACCACAGCAGTGCAAGTTCTGTACTTTTCTTATGTTAGTGAGCACGCAGGTTTGGAGTGGTGGGCAGTGCAGCTTAAGAGCACCCTTAAGACAGTAGGGATGTAGTAAAATATTTGTGCTCAAGTAATATATAACAGTCAGTCCTTTACTTTTCTTCAGCTTGTAAATGTCAGAGTTGTCAAATCAGCTGCTCTGTTCACTACAATATTTTTTAAAAGAGTGTCTCCAGGTTTCTGATCTGTCTGCCATTCTGTGCAGAGGTCCATCCAGCACAAGGTACCTCTGCTGCATCGCCTGCTTTCTAGAGCTGGGCACTGACTGTGTGTACATAGGAGGGCAATCAGACACCGTGTAGCTCACCACGCTTCTCTGGTCCTGGCTGAGATTTGCCAGCAGTTTCAGCTTCCTTTCCTCTGAATAGAGAGCGGAGGAGAGCGTGGCTTCTTCTAATTTGTCCCCGCTCAGAAGTCCCTCTCAGACTTTGAACTTGAAGTCCCGAAGCGTTTGTGAGTTAGACTCCAGAGGACCTTGTTCTTTGGGATGCTTTGTTGCACCCCATCACCACAGAATTTCAAGTAACCGCTAAAACTGAGCATTCAGCTGTGCATGGAAGTCCTTTTCATGTTTTTTTCCCCTAAGCTGTAGGCTGGATTCATAAGTCTCCGCTGGACAGCATTCCTGAAACAAAACAAAGTGAAAAAAAAAACATTGCTCGGCCTCTAAGTGACTGACCCATTTTCCCTTATTGGGAGCTAAATTAAGTGTGAACGGAATTGGTTTACTGCTTGGTGCACAAAAGTGCTTTATCAGAGCACGAGGTGTGTTTTTGTCTGCAAAGGGATGGAACAAAAGCTGTGGAAATTTTTCTTTGAAAAAAACAAAAAAGGAGGGCTGGGGATAGGAGCAGTGACACCAAGCCCTGGAAAAACTTTGCTCCCAAAGGAACTTGCTTGAAAGAGTCTGTGAGAAACTGTAAGAGGAGGGCTTATACTGGAAGTTGAATCTTAGTCTGAACTGATTGCCTCTGCTTCAGCTATAAATAGAAAATACTTGACTGCCAAATTTCAGTTTTTGGAGCCCTTTTGAATTCATGCCAAGGTAATAATATCTTAATTTGTGTATCTGTTTATTTTCCTCCCTTGGATGACTTAAAATGGCTACTCTTATTAGATTTATTATTATTTATTTTTTTTTGATTAACAAAATTACAAAGTGAACTTGGATATCATTTCTATGCAGAACTTAAAAAATAGCCAGCAGCTAGTTGGTGTTTTTTTTCATGAGGATACTCCCTTGCCCCTGAAATTATCATGCTTATAATTAAGATTGCATCAGTTTTTCATAGCTGCCAAACTGCTGTTGCCTTGTTCCATGCAGCGTAGAACTGCTGCGTGCATCAGTTTGTTGCCTTGGTGGCATGTGTCCAAACACTGGATAAAATTAAAGAAATGTTTAAAAATATGCAGACAGGATATCAGCCAATGTAAGATGCTGAGGCAGGAAAGTGGTTGGCAATTGCAGATATTTATTTATATCAAGTTAAAGGAGAAAACGCTGAGGGAATGGCTTGCTCTTCTGCAGCGTGGTGCTTAGTGTAAGACTGTATAGCCTTGCTCCTACTTCTTCAGGATGCATTTGCTGGCGTGAAATGGGCTGTATGGGGTCGTATTTTCAGCCCATGTAGAATAGGGGTCACAGGTAGCAGTGCCTGGCAGTGTTCTATGGGTCAGACTCTCATCCGGCCGTGTCTTATGGCACTATTGCTAGGGAGATTGCTTAGGAATTAATTTAGCAGACTGAGGTTCAAGCTCTGCTCATCTTCAGGGGTTGTTTGTTGTTTCAGGAGGAAGGTTGCAGTCCTGTGGCTAAGATCTGACACTTGGTAAATTTGAGCTTCCAGTCAGGGTCCTGTGCCTACGTGGTCATAGCAGCCAACTTCAGAGCCGGGTTGGTCAGCACTCAGCTGGTTTAGCTTGGATCAGGACTGAGGAAGGGAAGGACGTGGGCATGGGAATGCATGGCCGGAATGGTTGACTACAACTGTGTTGTGCTGTGGATTTAAGCTCCTCTATAATACAGCCAGCAAACTTGAGGTAGCTCTGCCCTGCCCGGCCCAGATACACTGGAGGTCTCAGGATGGGCCTGTGGTGCTGTTCTGGCCCAGGGTTGAAGCTGGTTCTTGATGTCAACTGTGAACCAAGCTCACCCTTGGGCTAATGTCTGACAGGTGCAGAGTACGTGATGTGAGTCACACAAGGTCACAAGGAGACAGGCAGATGGAGCCTCGGGTGTCTGCAGGGAGATGTGCACAGAGTTCAATACTGAAATCCAAGTCATCCTGTCACTGACCTGCATTTTGCCACTGACGTTTTCTGCGTTGCTCTGCATGCCTACAAGGTGTTGCTGTTTTGACTTGGTCTGGGTCCTCATCTCAAACTCTGAGCAAGCATGGCATGGACAAACCAGATGTCTATGCCAAAAAATGTGTTGGCTCACAACAGTAAGAGGAGAATAAGAATTTAAGTAGATGAGGCTGGTTCAGAGGAGAAGTCTTGCTGAAGTGGGACTGCCTCTAGGTGCTTGATTCATACATCACCAGCTGGGTGCTGGATGACTGTGGTTGGATTGTGATGAAAGGGAAACTCTGTGCTTCTAAAAAGATGTCTGGATTTGACATTAAATGAATTCTGAATTAATAGCTGTTTTGTTTTGCTCCTCAATTTATTAAAAATAAACAAATACACATAGTGATAAGAATATAGGGAGAGAGAATTGCCAGGTGCTGTTGGCCATTGGTCCTGGAGGTGGTTGGAAATGGAATTTGTGTCCTATAGAAAATTTCTTCTCTGGAAGGAGTTTTATTGCTATAAAAAGTGAAAGAGAAAAATCATGATTACTTTTTGGGAGAAAGAAATTCTGAAATGTCCTGAGCTGGGGTTGCTGCAGTAGCTTTGTGTCCAGCTTTGCAGATGGGAACAGTCATTAGCTTTGCTTCCTTTGGAAGATGGGAATATTCCAGTGGAGCAGCTGCAGACCTATCAATGCAGTTTTCCCATGGAAAATGTTGATATTATTAAAAGGGCACTTTCTGTCAGAAAAGCATTCTGCCAGACGTTTCCTGACCTGGCTTTACACTTAACCTTTTGTCTTGTTTTCTCCATTTGTAAGATGGATGTGATAGTTCTCAACCACCTGTATAAAATGCTGAAAATTGTGGATGAAGTTAAGATGTTGCGATGTCGTTTAAGAGTCAGTTTCTTTGAAAGCTTCAGCTGCTTTTATGGCAGTTCCCTATGGAGCCAGTCATATCTCTCACAGAGGCAAGAGCTTCTGAAATGCAAACATTAAACAAATACAAAGCATGTTATTACAAAATTATATGCATTCATCTATTCTATCTGTGCAATAGGCAGATGATCCCTTTATTTTACTACTGTTTCTTTGTGTCCTGGGAAGATTGCTTCTTGTTTTTGAGCATACTCTTAAGCTCTGGTGGCAGATATTTTAGTTCAGAATCTGTTTTGTTTTCGTTGTTGATCCCAAAAGCAGCGAGACAGGAGAGATGAACTGCATTTCTCTTGTTTTGTCAGGCTGTACATAATTGATTGTAATGGCTGTGGTATTTCTGTTCAGTCTTTGTTCATCAAAAAAAAAAGTGTGTGTGTTGTGTACTCTAATAAATCAAAAGCTAATTTGTGATATGAAAAGATACTTACTTTGCAGCAAATGAAACAATTAGTATCACTTCAGTTTTAATTTGTTCTGTACTTGAGCCAAAGTTTCTAGTTCTTACAGAATGTTCATTCTACAAGTCAGAAATCTGATGAATTTTGTGACTTCTAAAGAAGATCGTAAAGATGTTAAGGTAATATGGTGTATGCTTTGATAGGTTGACAGAGTTTGAATATACGCCAACGAGTCAGCTAACCATAGATGAGTTTATGAGGATTGACTTGGAAGAAGAATGTGATCCCCCTTCATTCACAGCTGGCCAAAAAAAGCTGAAGATACAGCAGGTAAATTCTAAGCCCGATGCTCTGTTCATTTCTTCCCTCTTTTCTCCCTCTGGATCAGTTAAAACTAAATCCTAATTGGCTAGCATCTCTTTAAATTTGGTTACATCTATTTTGAGGTTCTTAAAAGAATGGTGAGCGTTAGTACATATGACACTCATTAACTTAAGATATATATATATATATATGTATGTATATATATATATATATATTTAAGGATATGGTTTTACTACCTCTGTTATCCAGAGATACATAGCTTCAAATGTAGCCTTAAATATTCCCTGAGGAGGGACTGAAGTGTCTTTCCAGTTTGAGTCAACCCCAGCAGGAAGCACAGTGTCACTGCTCTTGTTGGTCAGATGGGGACATTTGGGTGTTTGAGCAGATGAGCACCTGTTTTGCTCCCATGTTTTGCAGGATACCAGTGTTTGGTGCTGAACACAATTGCTGTGTTGTAGATGAGAGCCCAGTGCACTCTGCTTGGGTGCTGCCCTGTGTGCAAGATGATGCAGTTACTTTCTCTCCATAGTGCTCGTTTTCCTGCTGCATGTTTCTCTTCTTCTGCTCTGACCTATTACTGAAGCATCACATCTTTATGCCCTTGCAAAACTGGAGCCTCTCATGTGACAAATTAAACTGAGCTTGTGGCATGCAGGTCTTGAGAAGGTGTTCTAATACCTGCACTTTTCTTGTATGTGCTGTGTGTGCTCTTCTGTTCTGGTTAACCAGAATTAAGAGTGGCCAAGGTGCATGCTTTGTAATTGGATCAGAAGCCATGTGCTTTTTTAAAAGGCAGTATTTAATATTTTAAATATGCTATCCTTTAAAGGGCTCTTGGTGTGCTGATGATGTTCTCAAGAGTCAGTCAGATTCCGTAGGTCAGCACTGCAGACTGCCATTGCATGTGTGCCACATCTGGCTGGGTGTACAGCAGTTTCAGTACTGTCCTTGCACTTGCTCATATCTGCAGGCACAATCATAGAACTTACTGCTATAGACTGGAGCCTTCTATATGCAGCTTGCTGAAGTAGAAGTTCCTTTTGAAGTATAGAGATTTCTGACATAATGTTTTAAATTGGCCAGTTGCTTGATACCTATCTGGCGATATAAAATAATTTGAATTAGGATTTGAAATGTTCTTATTGCTTTTAAAATACCCTGTGATTCCGTGTCTGTGTATACAATTCAGAAATAGTACAGAGATGTTTTTGTAGTAATTTCATGGTTGTTTTTTTTTTTGTTTATTTTCATTTCAGCTTGAGAAGGCGTTATCAAAAAAGCTGGAAGATTTTGAAGGTATAAGTTTTGTTTAGTGTAACAGATCACTCATTTCTTCAAAATTGCATTGATGATTGCTGAGTTTTATTTTTATTTCATCACCACAGGTGAAATATCAAGCTATCAAGATGAAATAGAGATTGAATTAGAAAATAGTAGACCAAAAGCAAAAGGCGTATTTGCAAATTTATCTAAAAGTGGTAAGTCTATAAAATCTTGTGACTACTTAAATAATAATAGGTTCATATCCTGCAGACATATTAAGTGTATGAACTTGATTGTGATAAATGTGATCATGTAAATGCTTTGGTAGTAAAGAGTCTCTGTTTATTGTATGAGGGTTCTCTCTGCTTTTCAACTCGTCTTGCCAGTTAGTTGGTTCAGTTGTCAGCCTTCAAACGAACAAAATACTTAATGCAAAATTAAAAAAAAAAAAATAAAAGCAAAATAAAATCAAAAGTAAAACTTGTTCATTACAATTGCAGTACAGCAATCACTTTTTCATTCTTGGTAACTTATAAGTTTGGCATTGATACCTGAGAATGTTTCTTTTCTAGTGTTGAGTGCGTAGTATAGCATTACACAGACCCTTCTGTCAGTGAATGCCCTGCTTGACAAATTGGTATGGTGGCTCTCTGTGCAGATTTAATTGGCCATTCATTGGCCAACAAATAGTTGGCTTCTTTTGAAAAAGCCTTTTACCTGCCATAATTTGATAACACAGTGCTTCTGTTTTAAACAGTGACTCTATTCACAAAAATACACTTTAATAGCCAGGGTCATGAATTTGAAGAGCGTCTGGAAACTCCCTACATTCATACATTGTACTGAAATAGTGTGTGAGTTTTCTACAGATTTTCTCTACAGGTTGTTTTTTTTTTTTACTTCGAAGGAGTATTTACTCTATTTACTCTTTTTACTTAGTTTCTGTAACAGATGGTGTGCAATGATTTGTTGGGTTGTTGTTGGTTGTTGTTTTTTTTTTCTCCTTACAGATTCTATAGAAGATAATACATTAAGCATATTTGGAGAAGAAGAGGCAGAAGATGAAGAACTGGAAGCAGCTGCTAATCACTTAAACAAAGACTTTTGTAATGAACTTCTTGAGAAAGATAGGTTAAAACCAGGTGAAGATGGAGAATGCAAAAATGGAAATGAAGCTCCTGTAAGACCACCCGCACTGGAATCCTTACTTGGTCCACTCCCCACTGCAGCTAGTCTTGGCATAACAGAGTCCATAAAAGAGTGTATTTCCTCTAAGGACCGAGAGCCTGGTGAGTAAAACATCAGTTCAAGAAAACCTGTGAGAGGATATGTTGCATGCATGCAGCCAGATGTAGGTTGTGTAATTTCTAGGCATCCTAATGGTTACTTTGACAGCAATTCCATTAGTCACTGTAACACTGATTGACAGGAGTTGTGAGACTGGTTGAGACCAGTGATCTAAGTCATTGATATTGCTCATTGACATCTGTTCGTCAGGAAGTTTCAGGAAAATCTGGAGAGCCTGATTATTTTCTGAAGCCTGAGAATGTGTATTTCTTAGTCAAGTAGATTTGCAATCATACAGTAGCTGATGGGCATATTTCAAGCCATGCAGTCTCAATTAGGAAATTGGAGGAAGCAGATTTCTGTAAGGATGACTGGAAATTAATACCCAAGTACAAGAGTTTTAGATGAAGGCAGGCTTTCATCTAAATTTTCATCCATGTTTTACTGGAATCAGATGTGATGCAGTCTGACTAAGAATATTTGTCATTTACAAATGGCAAATATTTGAACTGTTTGAAAGTGAAATAACTAGTTGTATGTATTTTCATTGATCTGGGCTTTGTTGTCTGTTTTGGTGGGTGTACTATTTTATCTTTAAAAAAACACCAAATAGCTCTGTGCAGAGAAGGAAGACCAGCACTGATGAAAGAATCCAATTTTGGTGGAGCCACAAAGCAGGCAGTGTTGCAAACAGCTAGTCATTCAGGCAGGTTCGTTTGCTTTCTCTTTTGTGTGCTTGAGCATTTTGAAGATGGCGTTTTTAAAATTTCTTCTGCATCTTAATGTCACTGAGATGTGGATGTATCCTAAAGGGCATTTTGTTCATTATCACAGTTAATTTTTCCATCATAAGACACACCTGCCTGAATCTGTTCTGTCAGCTTGGGGGCAGATCAACCAGAACGTTTTGTTATCCAAATTGTTCTGATGCTAATTTCTGTTCAACAGCACCTACTTCTAATAGAGTATTCCCTGCCTCCATAGATGAACTGAATGCATTCACATTCTTACTATGTCGGTGTTCTCAGAAACATAGCAGGATGATTGCATGTTTATATTTTGCATGAACTAAGGCACATAGAAACAGTTGAGTGGTTTTGTGTTTGCTTTAATTACGATTAAGAAAATGGATGGCTCATGGCTTGTCTTTCTCTGGGAAATCAGCGGTTCGCGTTGAAGAGAGGTCAGTAATGGCTAGAAGCTGTTGTTGTCTAGCTGGCCAATGACCTGTAAAAATGAGTTCCAGTGATGGGCGTTTCTCAGCTGGCATTGCTATTGACCATTTTAATGGCTGGGCTGAAAACTGAGAGATTCTAAAGATGAAGCTAAGCTGGTACAGCCGGTGTGTTCCTCTGAGTTGGGCTTCGGGCAGGTGGGCAGGAGAAGCATGGCCACTCTTGTTATGACTGCTCCGTGTTCTGCTTTTTTATTTTTTTTCCTCAAAAGTAGGGAATGTGCCAAATGAAGGGAATGTTCAAAAATAAAAAGGCTTCAGTCTACTCATTCTCTTCATGAAACTGGGCATGGTAAACAGGTGCTTATTTTTGTAATATGCTGTGAAGCTGGTATGTTGAATTGCTGTTTTGGTTGCATTTTTGTTGCAGATCTTCTCCCTTGTATATATATATATGTATATATATATATATTTTTTTTTTTTGTTTTAAGTGACAGATGCTATTTATCTCCACATTAAATCTGGTTGACTTTGGCCCTGTCTGTACTGACACATGGTGCACTTCCCCATCTCTGCGCCCTTCCAGTGTTATGCCTGGGTGGTGTGAGTGCATTATCTCTGAGGACCTTTGGGTACAGGAACAGTAATGCAGCCTTGATGTATTTTGGATGACCAAGAGCCTGGTCTGGCAGATGGTCTGGGAAGTCATGTTTCTGTGTAAAGAAAACTTCTTGTAGTGATGCCCCTCGTTGGTCATTTGTGCATCATAGCACTGAGTCCCATTGGAAAAACTGGGTATCTCCATCGCTTGAAGAGCTGATACCTTGAGTTCTGCCTCGCCATGCTGGGAAGTCTGGGGAAGGTTTTTATACAGAAGTAGTATCTTCTGTCAAGCCAACTTGTGTAGTTGTAAGAATCAGACAACTTTCAAGCCCTCCTTGAAGTCTAAAAAAGAAGTGACAGCTTTCAAAACTAAAAATAGGATGAAAGCGGTCGCTCCAAGTTTAATTTGAGATAACACATTTAGAGATCATCTCAGGAAGCAAAAGTAGCTTCTACCTGTGGAGAGAGGAAGCAAAGATGGTAACATTTCCTCATTCATCCTGTGTATCTGAATTTAGTTTAGTACAATTTATATTGTGAATCTTGACTGGATATGAGTTTGCTATGGTATTTCATGTTCCAGTGTCTCAGTGCGTTGGAGAAAGGAGAGAGTCAACATAACACCCCTAAGGTGACATTGTGTGCCATCTCTGCAGCTGTGTAAATGAGAAAACAGGAGCTTTGCTCTTCCCTTAGCCCTCTCCATCCCAAAGACATCTTCCACTGTGCAGAGCATTGGCACGAAGTTGGACTGGAGATCCTGGTTGGGACAATGCTGTATCTCCTTGGGGTGCACTTGATGGATGGGCATATTGCAGTGTTTGGGAATGACAGGTGTGTTTCTACATGGGGAAAATTCACAGAAAACCTTCATGGTGATACATGGTGTGGCTGGGCAGGTGGCCATGAGCAGGTGCACTGTGTGCAATGTGTAGCCTCCTAAATGCAGGGTATCCTTTCAATTTTCTGTAATAATCTCTTCTCCTCAAAAAAAAAGCTCTGCTGTAGGTACCTTCTGCAAAGTCCTTTTATTTGGCTCTTACATGTGGTTATTCAGTTTATAATTGCCTACATCAGCTGCTTTGGGAAATCTTCCACCTTTTGCTACAGTGGCTGTAGCAACAGCATAAGGTTTCTCACAGGCTGCATTGGCAGATAAGAGTTAGGTACAGAGCTTAGGTATTAAGAGAAATTCTGTCTATTTTTGCTTCACTTACAATTGGTGTTTGAGCAACGTGAGACTGTCTATATGAATGTTTTATGGAAAGCACAGTATTTTAGCGAATTTGCATTACAAAGAGGGCATGTAAGGTACTGGGTTAATGAGACTGAGGCTTAGAATAAACACTGCGTTTGACAGTTTTTTCTCCTACAAAGTGTAATAATTTACAGAGACATTTGAGCTGAAATCTCTCTGAGTCGTTGCAAACTGCTGCTTATTCTTTGTGATAAAAGAGCTTTATTGTGGGATCACAGTTTCAGAGGTGAATCTGGGAGATCAGTCTGTCAGTTTCCTGGTGGAGCAGTGTTGCTGCACCCTCCCCATGGTGTGTGTTGGTGTTCTTTGTGGATCTGGAGTTCCTCCAAACAGCACACCATTCCCTTTAGGAGGCCGTCACAGTTAAACACCACGGGTTCAGTTCATCATTCTTCTTGGTGTTTCTGTCCTGATGTTTGCTGTCACCCTCTCCTTCCCATGCACGCAGCAAGTTCACCTCTTTATGCCACATCAGCCAAAAGTCATGAACTGAATTTGGCCAAAAATGTCTGATAACAACAGAGATAATGAGAAGCTACAGGGTGTAAGTTACCAACTAACTCCATATAACTTAGTGTTTGCTATCCTGGTAGTGTTTCAGACCTTATTTAATTTTTATTTTGATTCAAAATTCACACGCAGTCATTTTGGGCGACGGTTTCAAATCCCGTACGTGAGGCAATGGTTGCAGGCTTCTGCACGTCCTCTGAAAGTAAGTGGCTCTTGCAGCGAGAAATCGCTGTGCATGTACCATCTTGTGCTTGGTTAGGCATCCGGCTAACTGCGTTCAGGGCTAATTTCACAAAGAATACATGAGAAAGGTTTAGTGCTTGTTCATAATTAATAGTTTGCTCGTTTATTACTCCTTGTGTTTATGCCTCCCTTTCTGCCACAGGCGTAATCTGACACATGGGCTGAGGTCCAAAGATGTTTCCATTGATTTCTGGGGGTATTAAAGACCCCGTGCAGACAGCAGTCATTGATCGGATGGTTGTCAGCATCCCTATATACCAACTTCTTGTTCAGGGAGGATGTGGCAAGCTGCTGAAGATGAAGTTGTACGAGGCAGGGGTTGGGTTTATCTACCACAGTGTTCTCCAGCTGCCTTCTGCTCCCATCTTTGTCCTCATCTGGAAACTGGTCAAGGAATGGCTCTTGGCAGCAATGTGTGTGACTGGGAGGCTGGCTGATGCCTTCCCATCAAGGAGTCCCAGCCTGGTGGCCTGTGATGGGTAGGAAGATTCCCTGCATTGCTTCTTGCCATTACTTTTTAATAAATGGAGGAGTGTTGGCTCCCACTGGGCGTTTGTATCTTCTTCTGCGGTCTCCCTTTCTTTCTCAGATTATTCTCTGAGCACATCAGTGCCAACCATTTGAGAATATATGTGTATATGCACGTATGAAAGTATATAAGAAGATATAATCAGTAATTAGAGAGAACATTATGAAGCTCTATTAAGTCATAATTACCACATACATGAGAAATAAAGCTGCTGAGTTTAGCGCTAATTGTGTTATATATGCAAAATACATCTTGGTCATCAGTGTAAGCCTGCGTGTCCCCATCCTGATGGCTTCTTCTGGCTCTGATTCTAATGGTGCTCTCACTTCAGTGGATTTAAGCTCTGCCTGTGGTGATCTCCTCAGTGCTACCTTCCTCCTGTGGTACCTCTCAGGGTCTCTCTTCATCTTCGAGTGCCATTGGATCACCAGAGAGTATTTTCTATGGCAGAACTAGTTGTTTATCAATCCTTAGAACTAGGCAATAAAAACCATTATGCTAGTTCATCTTTCTAATCTAGTGTCTATATTCTTGTGTTTGGCAGTCTTGATAGGCTGTATTGCTGATGGAGCCTTCATTATGCTGTTAATGAGATGTGAAGTGCTTGCTGCAGCCAGCGTGGTAATAGGAGACCACCAGCTGCTTCAGATGCAGCTTTTGGTACCTGAAATCTTTGGTGGGAATT